ATGAGCGGGTTTAGGGTTTAGGGTTCAGGGTTTAGGGTTTAGGTAGGATGTTGCGTATGGGTAGTTCTCTGAATTCGGCTCATGCTTAGTAGGGTGCCGTTTTGGGGGACCTAGAAAGGGACTTGTTTGCAGAAGGACCCATGCAATGTGTCTTCTGGGCGAAAATTGAGCCTCAAATGTCGGAATCTCGAGCGCCCGAGCCCAAACTTATCTCTTCGTCTGTCACCGCTGCTCTAAGCAACCCTTTAGGGTTTAGGGTTTAGGGTTTAGGGTCCAAAACCCTAAACCGGAGTTGCAGGGTATTGCATCCTCAGGAACTTAGACTGCAGCATCTGGATTGCTTACAGTGCGGCTTTGGGTTTAGGGTTTAAAGGTCTGGCTTGCTGGTTTGAGTCATAAGTTTTCGGGTCGAGGGTTTACGGTCTTGGGTCATCAAATGTTTGTCTTCCGGACATCCCAGCCGACAGTGCAACCTGAATTCGTGATATTCGTCCATGGAGACATAGTCCAGAAGGTTCAAAACGGTTCCATCAGTAACTTCGGCTCGGAGATCAGATATGCTCAGGATTGCAGTTTGCCGTCCAACTCATTGGACTCATGGCATTTGCAGTGCAGTATTCTTCCATTTCTGGCGGCTGGTTTCGTTAGTTTATGTCGGGCTGTGCATGCACCTTCGGTGTAAGAGCTACCAAAAGTCAAAAGACCCATCGTAACAAGACGTACCACATGGGCTCAAAACTGTAGGCCAAAGCTTGAACCACAAATCCTAACTTAATCTTGAGCCCCAGAGCTCTCTCCACTAAGGACTAAACGTCCAGATTATAAAAGAAAGCTTTATCCCCCAAGCTGTACATATGGCAAGCGGCCAATGACCTGCTGCTTGCTCGGCAAAGCGCCGTTCCAGCGATGAATGAACTGCCAGGGTGGCTCCTGCAGCCTTCTTCATCAGTTTGAGGTTTCGGTTTGACGAGCTTCCGAAACCCTACCTGGAACCGAAACAACCTACTTTTTTTAGGAACTATATGTATAGAAATCATGATAAGGAACCCTAAATATAAAAGGTAGGTCTTTCCGGCTACAGGTAAACCCTAAACCCGTAAACCTCTAAACCCTAAACCGTCTCAGTGGGAAGGCGCCTCGAACCACCTGCTGGAGCCCTGAAAGCTCTTTCTGGCCAGGTGTTACCCTAAGGGTCCATGTGCCCAAATAGTAGATACTTTGGCCTGAAAGTAGCCCCTATTTGGGTACTCTGGGCTGGGGCCAAACTAAACCCTAAGCCCTAAAGTATCTACTGTTCGAGTACATGGACCCTTTGGGTTATGCAATCGCTTCGGAAAACCAGCCTGCGCAAGTTGCTCGTGCCATCTGGGTAGAGTTTAGGGTTTAGGGTACAGTGGCATGCCTACATGTAGTCACCTTACTTTATACAACAGAGGGCTTGCAGACACGTCTTTTTTGGTGTGACCAAGACTGCGCTCGTAATTTGGACCTCGAACTGTTGTCCTAAGTTTTCGTATCACTCTTCTTCCTTGTTTTGCAATCACCACCATGGTCTTCTTTCCGTGGACTCATGGCTGTAGATAGAGCCGGTGAGGACTCCATCGAAACATTTCATTACTCTAGGCTGCAAATCTCACACGCGCAGAAACGTCTACGAACCCGAAGAGGCAGTGAGGTCTTGTCCAAGTTTGGCGGCCACCTGGGCGAAACTAGGCACTTGGAGAATGTTCTTGAACTGTATGTTGCTAAAGTTGCTAAAGCACATGATGCATCATTTGCAGCATCATATCAGAGCACAGACAGCAGGGCATTCCCTGATGTGACAGCATCCTTCACTGCTCGTGTCGCGCAATGCCGTTTGTTAGGCTGTTGGGTATGATACAACCTCTCCTTCTAATCGAAGGTACATCTCCCTAACACAGTTCGGAAGCAATTCTCGGCAGGGCGCGCCACACAGACCGGCAACATTCAATTTAGCTTTGGGCACGGACCGCCTGCCGTCTATGCCACAGATATTCAGTTGTAGTAAGTTCTGTGTTTAGCTATTTATGCACGAAAATGTATTTGTCTATCTGTATAACATTGTATTCATCTATCTTCCTACCTACCTATCTGTCGATCTATCTGTCTATCTATTTATCTATCCAAATATCTATCCATCGATCGATCCAGAACTGCATCTGTCCATCTGTCCTCTTTATCTAGCTATCTGGCCAATCTAGCCATCTATCTATCTGGCTATCTATCTAACTATCTATCTAACTATCTATCTATCTATCTATCTATCTATCTGTCTTATATCATCTTTCCGTCTCATATCTATAAATTCAATCTGTCTATCTGTTTCTACAACCTTTCTGTATGTACGTTGTGCATGTATGCTCAACTGCATGGTGCATGTGTGCACGCGGGTGGGTGCGTGGGTGGGCGGTACAGTAGGTAGGTCTGTAGGTAGGTCGGTAGGTAGGCGGGTATCTACACATCATGTAGATCCCTAAACCCTAATCCTTAAACCCNNCCTAAACCCCTAAACCCTAACATCCCGACATCCCAAAACGAAAATGGCTGTTGGCGAGGCTAATGCCCAGGGGGCTAGGCCCAGTTTTCAGGGCTGGGCAAGCCCAGCAGACAGGCGGGGGGGGGGGGGGGGGGGGNNGGGTTAGGGGTTTGGGGTTAGGGTTTAGAGCCTAGGGGACTAGGGTTTAGGGCTTCGGGTTAGCTTACTGAGTGTGGGCATCACCTAAACCTGAAATTCAAGAAAGAAGCGACCATACAGAGACCTAAGAAGGAGGTACTTCGAAGCCTAAATAATTATCAATATTTCTGTTCGGGTTCCTTGTTGTAATAATAACGTAAAGGCGCCCAAAACCCCAATTTGATTATGAAGGCCCCTACATTACGGAGTTCATGGATCGACCGAAAGCTGAAGGTCCTGCAAACACATCTCCAAAACTACAAACCCTATAGTGTGCATGGCGTTTAGGGTTTAGGGTTTAGGGTTTAGGGTTTAGGGTTTAGGGGTGTGTGCATGACAAAAAACTGACACTAAGCTCCTGAATGGCATATAAGCCCTAAACCCTAGACAACCTTCCGATTTCTTCAATATCAGTCCTTAAAAATTGGATCTAAACCCTCAACCCTATAAAAAGAATCTCAAACCTAAGCCCTAGTTTTATACACCCTAGCAGTACTGAGGGTTCCTCCCGGCCGTAGACTTTCCGGTCTCCTACTGACCCCAAACCTAAGCGCTAACTTTGGGGTTGAGGCTTTAGACGTAGGGGTTTAGGGGTTTAGGGTTTAGAGTTTAGGGAGTTTAGGCTGATGGCTGAGAGTTCCTTCTCGTTCGGCGTTTATGATTTAGGCTCAAGACTGCGAGCTTGCTGTGTTAGTTTGCTTTCTCTTCTAACCCCTCAACTTGTTTGAAGGTTCCTGGGCCTTCAAGCTTGTTTAGTAAGGTCTGAGTTCCGGAAGGTTCAGGGGTGCCGGGTCCACAGCGCTTTGGGGCTTTTGGGCTGAAAGGATCGAGTGTTGAGGACAAGTTTAAGGCCTCTGGCTGAGGGTTTAGAGCTTGGTCGGTTTACGGTTCAGGGTGCAGGGTTTAGAGTTTAGAGTTTAAGACCTCATGGTTCAGCGTTTAGCTTGCTGGGTTTTGCAGTTCAGGGTTTCGGGTTTGTGTCTTGAGGGGTAATGGGTTACGAAGTTCTATGTTCGGGTGAGGACACAACACACGCATGCCCCTCGTGTGGGACATTTGCCATTCAGGTGGCTCATCGACAAAGCTACGGTAGCTCCGGCCTCGATACACCTCTTGCAACCCTAACCTCTAAGCTTTCTTAAATTTGGGACTCCCAGGCATTTTGCAATAAGGATCCCGCGATCCCTGTGTGTATATTTTTTCGCAGGGTCCTTGACGGAATTTAGGGTCTCGGGCTCAGGGGTTCAGGGATGGAAACGAGATGACATGAACTCTCTTTGCTTTAGGGTTTAGGGTTTGTTAGGTCGTTTAAGGTTTGTAAAGGCTTAACGGATTAGGGCTTATATTCCCTGACCACAATTCCTAACCCTCAGGCACTGTAAAGATTGCATCGGGTTGGCAGTCCATAGTAAACCCTAGAATAACAATAGATCAAGTTCATCGGGAGTTCCACACTTGCTTACAGTGTCTCGAACTCGAGCTTCCACAAACCCCCACGTTTCAAGCCCTAAAGTTCTACTGGGTACAAACACAAATCCTTCGAGCCCAATCATCTCTACAGAATCATGCGCTCCGCTTATATTTTAATACACCATAGGGTGAAAGGAAAGGGGAACAAAGGAGCGAACAAAAAATGAGCTGAGTCAACGGTTGTAGCTGGTGGAATAAATACAGGTGGAATGGGTGGCTTATTTTCATTAGTTTGAACCATTAGAAATGTAATGTAATGAAACTTTGTGCTTATAGTGAAGTGAAACGAAAGCTTGAAACGCAACAAAGAAAAATATGACAAGGAATTAATGATGTTGTGTTGTGTACTCCCGGTAATTTAATTCACACGTTTGCCTCGTTCATTTTTAATTACACAGCACCAGGAATGAGTCAAAAGATTAGGTAAAGATAAAAGACCTAATTTAATGTGGCTCTGTTTTGTTTTATTCAACCACGCTTTTGCTCAGGCTACACTGGTGAATGAGACAAGAGCCACAATTCAATTAGTTGTTTATCATTTTTGTTTTCCTTTGATCTTTATCTTTTCGCTTATTTCGTGCTTACACTTTCTTTCATTACAAATGAGCCAAAGACAAAGGAAAACCCTATAAACGACACCAAACCCTAAGCCTTAATAAAGCCGAAGATGAGACGAAGTGCCCAGGATATGGCGCTGATCTCTGATGGCGCCCTGCAGCGGTTGCCGGCTTCCTTCCGGGAGGCATACTTTTGTTGTTGGCTTCTGAGTGCCGGGTTAGGGGCTTGGGGGTGGCAAGCTCATAGTTTTCCATGGTTTGCACGCAAGCTGCAGACTCTCAGCCCTTGTCGCCATCACCAGTCTTACCGCAGGTGCCAGCCACTGCTGTGACTGCCAAATCCGTCAGCACCACGAAACCAATTCGCAAGCAAGTAGAACGACAGAAGCTCTTACAGGTAGCTGACTCAAACATAAGTAGTACTATTGACTGTGAAGTACGAGCCTGTGTCGGCAAGTAAGTAGAACTAGCCCATGCAGCTGCTTGCCTAGCAGTGCCCGTTGTCGTCATGCGCCCTTCAATTCGTTATCAACTATACAAACACAGGAACCAAGGGCTAAAACAGAGGCCTGTATAAATATACGATAGTAAGTAATGAAAATGTCAGCCCTATGGCCCCTAAAATATTGACAGTATAGGATACCCCTCCTCGAACAAGAGTCGAATTATTTAGGCCTGAGGCCCCTGTAGTACCAACGGTATTGCTCCATGCAGCCTGGCTAAGCCGAAGCCTGCCGCACTTCACCAGTGGCTGAGTCTAGGTCTTCTTCAGAGCAATACCGTAGTCTACCGCGTGCAGGGTATGTGCTTCTGGCTCAGGGTTTAGAATATAAACTTGAATTCTGAACCCGTAGGAGCTGAAACAGGTAGCTCTCCAGGGCCTGAGAGCCTCACACCGGAAGCCAGGCTGCGATGGGTGAGCTCCGGAGAGTTCTGAAGCCAGGTGGTGGTGGCCTCAGCTATCATCCACCACTACTACTACTACTACTACGACGACTACTACGACTGCAGTGTGCCTGCAAACTAGAACTGCTACTTTTGTGCGAAATCTTGACGGTCTTGCAATCTTGCTCGGGCCCACTTGCCCCACTTGCTCGCAGACTAGTTCACCTTTTGCAGACCAAGATTGCAAGATTGCGTCGCAATCTTGGTCGCAATCTTGTTCCAAAAAGCTAACTAAGCGGCGAGACCAAGATTGCAAGACTGTTCGATGGCAGTTCTACGTTGCAGGCACGCAGTACTACTATTATAGTAACGAAAAATAGAAACCCGAATACTACTACTAGTACTATTACTACTACTGCTCTACTGCTGCTACTGCTCCTTTCAGTAGCACTACCACGACTACTACGACAATAGCAACAACAACTACGACGACGACTACTACCAATAGTACTGCTGCGGCTACGGATACTGCTACTTCTACTGCTATGGCTGCGGCTACCGCTGCGATCACCGCCGCCGCCGCCACCGCCAACACCACCACAACCTACTGGCTAATCTGCCATCTGCTATCTATGAGTAGTCCTTGTCTGACTAGGTCTATGTCGTTATAGCGTCTTGAGGAGTGGTTTGATTGTGGCCGCAGTTGTAGTGTTCGTGATTGTGTGCTTGTTGTTAGGATTGCTGTAGCTGTTGATGGGTGGACCTCTGCTTCAGTCGTGCTACTTGTCGCCACTTTGTGTAGGCAAGAAGCTGTCGAGGAAAAACGAGCAACATCGTTGCTGCAAGCATTTCTTTCGCAGCAGATGTTCGGTCGGGCGAACCTTGTTGCCGCAAGGGCGGGGTCACATCGCCTTCCAAGCAAGCTACAACGGAAAGTTTGAGTTCGAGCAAAGCTTTCAGAGCGTAATGCTCAGCTGGCAAAGCACATCCGTGAGGCATGGCTGCAGCATTACTTGTCGCGAGACTGAGAGAAGATACCCAACGTGAGCTGGGTTCCGAGGTCGTCTCTTTGCCGTTGCATCTGACGAAGATGATGAGGTCCTCTGCAGGGAGACGGATTTTAAGCGAGTTGTGTATCATCTTCGTATGGCTCTCTAGCTAGAGCCTACTGCAATACTTCTGCTAATATCAGTGCTGACTAATCAGGGGTCGAAAGCAGTAGATCTGTCAAGGCCAGTTGACAGTGAGGGTGTCCTCCAGTTGAACGAAAGCAGTCAGTAGATCTGGCAAGGCCAGTTGACAGTGAGGGTTTCCTCCAGCTGAGGTGGAAGACATTTCTGTGGCGCATGAATTTCCTTGCACTTCCTCTTTGCGGTTCATGGCTTAATTTGGATTTTCTACTTCTATAACGAGGAAACCACGAACAGGAACTGTGTTCCCGGGTGACCTGCACCTCCCGTCTTTCCTACCAGGCATATGGGGGGGACTGGCAGCAAGGGATGAAAGGCTCCATCTTCGACAAGGCTGCGCAGCTGGTTCTCTCAACAATCCCACGCACTAAATCCTAAGCCTAGCTTCAAAGCTCCTACTTTTGGGTGTGCAAAAGAGAACCTAGTGTTTACGTGCCTCTTTCGCCCGCCCTTTGCAGGGGTGCGGGGTTCCCTTGAAATCGAAGCAGAAGCAGTAGTAGTAGCAATCGTAGTAGTAGTCGTCCTCAGTTGTCGTCGTCGTGGTAGTCGTCGTCGTAGTCGTGCGTGTGGTAGCAGTGGTAGTGGTAGTCGCGGCAGTAGTAGTAGTAGTAGTAGTAGTAGTAGTAGTAGTAGCAGTAGTAGTAGTCGTCGTATTCGTAGTGGTAGTAGTAGTAGTAGTAGTAGTAGCAGTAGTAGTAGTAGTAGTAGTAGTAGTAGTAGCGTTAGTAGTCGTGGTAGTTGTAGTGGTAGTTGCAGTTGCAGTTGTAGTTGTAGTGGTGGGTAGTTGTAGTGGATAGTAGTACTGGATGTGGCACCAGCAGCAGCAGCAGCAGCAGCAGCAGAAGTACTCTTCGTCGTCGTAGTAGTCGCAGTAATCCTTGTCGCCGGCGGATTCTATGCAGATACGACGATTGCAATAAGTTTCGTCACAAGAAATCGGGGGTGAGAGTTCTAAATATCTAAGTCTAAAACGCCACTTGGGTTGTTGTCGATGCGAGGGCCCCTTTTGGGTTCCCAAACTGTAGGATGTATCAAAAAGTATTTAGATAGCGATTTTCAGGGTTCCATGATTTTGCCAGATACCCATTTTAAAAGTTCGTAGAACCGAAGTCTTGTAACCTCGAGTTTGGGATTTGCGGTGTGGGCTTACGAGTCTTAGCTATGCGGTTTCGAGCTTGAGGGCTTCGAGTTTCTTACCGCTTCAAGGATTCGGGTTCAGGGTTGGGTGGGCGTAGCATTTGTGATGGCTTGGACAGTATAACGCAAGACTAGACCCTGAAACCCACCCGAACTGTTGAGGCTTTCCCCAAACTCGGGTTAAACCCCAAGACCCTTTTCTGATGACGCCTTTGCAGGGCGGCTTCGAACTGCAAGCCGCGAAGAAGGGCGAGTGTGGCCTCACCGTCGGTTATTTCAGGACGGCCCGGTAGGACTTCCTTTAGGCGATCCTTCTCAGGATCAACTCAGGATCCTTTAAAGGGCTCCTTCAAGGGTTCCTTTCGGGGTGTAGAGTTCAGGATCTAGGTCTGATCGAGGGTTTCAGGATTTCGGGTACGGGTCTAGGGCCCCAAAACCCAAAATCTAAGGTTGGAAGTATTGGCCCCTGATATGGACCCTTAGGCCTTTCTAGGGACCCTTAAGGTACATATAGAGTATGTAGTAGGTTCAAAAGGATCCCAGGATTAAGGGCCCATACTAGGGGCCCATGGTTTCAACCTTAGACAAAACTTTAAACCTTGCAGGACGTCGTTTGGGCATTTCAAGAACCCTAAGCCCCAAACCCCTAAGCCCTAAGACTCAAACCCCAAAACCCTACACCCCTAACCCCTAAAGCCCTAAAGCCCTAAACCCTAAACCCTAAACCCCTAAAGCCCTAAAGCGCTAAAGCCCTAAACTTCAAGTGCCAGGCGGCCTGTGTTTGGTTGGAGGTGCAGCGTGCGTCCGCCTACACCCCGTGAAGACCTTTCTTAGCGTCTTAGGGGGTGGTGTAATGCAAGTCCTGATTCTGGAACCATTTCAGGGTTTAGGGCTTCTCAGTTTTAGGGTATAGGGGTTGAGGGTTTAATGTTTAGGGCTTTAGGGTTTTGGGGCTTTGGGTTGAAAAGGGTTTGAGGGTTTAGGGTTACGGTGTTATGCGAATACACAAGATATCACAGCCAGGAAGAAAGGCATCCGAAGAAAGAAGCCGAAGTTGGCGAAGGCACCTGGGAAGGGCCTACGAACTTCACATCCCGGGATCGTTGTCGTTGTGGTTCTGGTGGTGGTCGTTGCTGTTGCTGTTGTTGCTGTTGCTGTTGCTGTTGTTGGTATTTAGGTTGTGGTTGAGGTTGTTGCTGTTGTCGTCATTATATGGCCTGCTTTGTGTACAGATTGCATGGACTGTAGCTGCTGTTGGCTTCATGAAGAGTTAGGTGCAGTGTTGGGTCAACGTGAATGTTCAAAGGATGTGAAGCCGATAAGGCAAGACAGTTTTCCGGCCGCACATCAAGTACATCAACAAAACTCTTGAAGCAAAACCGACCCGAAACCATCATTAACTCTACACTCTCGACGCCGCATCAGACTGCGCCCAGACGCGGCAAGGTATTCGGAGTTTTCGGGGTCGTTTGCTGGAATGGAGCCCCTTGCCTGCGTTTTGAATCACAAGCGAATGACATCGGGGCCCTAATAAGTAGAGTTGACTCGGGGTTGCGCGGGTATGGGATGTACCTTGCCCGAAGCCCGACGCCCACGAATCTACATCCACAGAACCCCATGAGACCTGGTATCACCTTCTGCAGGCTCTTTAAGCTCCCCATGTAACACATCCCTGTAAGCATCTTATTTTCAAAGTTTAAGCCGTGTACGACCGCCTCCAGGCTTCCGCCAAGTCCTTCGATGTCGACCCGAACGAGCTGAGCGCCCTGCTGGGCGGTGAAGACTAGCTTCCCGACTTCGGACAAAACAGCAGTGTCGGGCTTAGGTTTTGAGATGTGGGGTTTGAGGCTCAGTGTTTAGGTTTTGGGGTGTTGTTCGGGCCTGGAGTCGAACCAAAAAAGATGTCCGAATAGGTTGTTTTTTGGGTCAGACAGGGCTTTAGTGTCAGGGGTTGGGGTCCCAGCCGTTAAACCCTATGAGCTCACGGTTTCGGATTTAACGGCTAATAAGCCAATCGGTCGAGATTTAATTTAGGGCATTGAATGTTTATGCTGCGAACCACGGATAGGAAGTGGATCAGGTGATTTGTTGACAATTCCGGGGTGTCTCGGCGACATTCATTAACCTGTGGTGTCAGGCTCCGTGCTTGCAGTATCTTTAGACCCCCTTGTGGCAGTCTCCCAGAATGCAGTCCAAGCATTTAGGCCCTTTAGGCCCACTGCTTGGACTTGTAGATAACCAACAGGAGCCTTGACAAATCCCTTATATATTTTCTGGACCTTATAGACCCTCTTCCGGAAACCTTACGAGGGTGATCAACAGTCCAGCTAGAGCCTTTGAGGTAATGACAGAGCGTAGTTAGAGAACGTCTAAGTTTAGGATTTTGGGTTGAGGGTTAAGGCAAAGCCCCCCCGCACCTTTCCTGCCGAGAACACCTAAACCCTAAACCGATTCCCGTTTTGGCTTCCAGGTATCACAGCTTGTAGATCTAGACTTGGGAGGAGGTTCCACAGGTGAGCCGATCTACTGCAGCCTTCCTGGAGACACAGTGCTCAGGACATGGGGAACCGATCAGGGTTCTAATGTACGGCCCTAAATAATTACCTATAAATATATTTGTAGGGGGGTTCCTTACTATACTTATATAGGATAATGGCCCAAAAACCCTACTCTAATCATTAAGTGTAGGGGCCTAAATAATTGCCTATAATATTGGGAGTTCCTGACTATACTTTAGTATAATGGCCCCCAAAACCCTATTCTAATTATTAAGGCCCCGATATTATGTGGTTTCTATCAAGGGTCTACCAAGACTCTGCAATGGGTCTGTCCCGGGTAACATAGGAGCATTAACTCATGAATCGGGTTTCGGGCCGATTGTCTTCTACTTTGATGATACAGAGACTATAAAGGAACGAGCATAGAACTGCTGTTTATTCCGACTCCCACCTTATCGATTCGCATGCTGATTTCTTCATTCTACCTATAGGCTCCGTTGTAGTTCCTCTTTGGGGTTACCTTTTCGGATCCTACTACAAAAATTGTTAAGCCCTAAATCCTACACCCCCCAGAAAATTGCCAGAAAACGAACTACAACGGAGACTCCTTAGGTATTGTTTGAGCAGCTTGTGAGGTCCTCCAGTGCGGGTTCAGCTGCTGCAGGCTTTTTTGGCGGTCAATGGTTACGGGTTTCGGATTTCGTGTTTAGGGATTGAGGGTTTAGGGTTTAGAGGTGTAGGCATGACGGCTGGGATCTCAAGTCGTCGAGTTTTCTGTTCTCTACGCAGCGAAACGGGAAGGCACACAGACACATGGGTAGTTCTCCAAATTAGGGTCCCTTTTTGGATCCCCAATCTGGTACCCACACCCTAAGGGTCCATGTGCCCAAATAGTAGAACATTGGCCCTAAAGTACCCATATAGGGACTACATTAAGGCCAATGTTCTACTATTTGGGTACATGGACCCTTAGGGACATAGATTCATTGCAGTCAACCTTGAACTGGCAGGCTGCCATGTTCGTTCCTTGATGGTTTAGGGTTTAGGGTTTAGGGTTTAGGTTTTGCCTACAGTAAGTGTTGCAGGAGTGAGGAGCATTCACCTAAATCCCCAAGCCCCACCAGCGCATCGCAACCCTATCTAAAGTCTCAGCCTCCTGTTTACATCTCAACAATCCCCAAAACCCTAGTCTACTTATTGAAGCCCCCTGTACGTTCTAAAGCCTCGACTAAAGCCTCAAATCGGGGGAACCCGAAACTCCGAGCCTGGATAGTCCTGATTATAACTCTCGTATAGTACACCCTAAACACCCGTCAGTAACCCTAATAGAACAACGTTTACTGGAACCCTCAATGGAGGCCTACATCTACATCTACATCTACATACATATACATATACATCATATACACATATAACATGTATATTCAGACAGTCTCTCCAAGCCTGGATGGCCTCCCCACCGCTAGGAATGGCATACCAGTTCGTTCTCACCTGGTGCCTTGCCATGTGGTGAAGATTGGGTGTAGGACAGGGTTCACAGATGAGGGATCACTGTTCAGGGATTAGTCTTCTCCATAATTATAGGCTTCTGGCCTTCGCCCCCATCCCTGAATCCTGTTGAGCTGTTGTGTATTCGGCCTTTGGTGCTCTAGCGGGTCGATTGATGGGTAAGCCCCGCTCCTGTCTGGTACGAGAAGAACCTTTAGACATTTGCAGTACCTTTTCGTTGGTTGCCTTGATTGTAAGCCAAGCATATCTACAACACCGAAAAATAAATAAGGCTTATAGAATAAGCTGTTTTGGCCCTATGCGAACCAGGTAGAGCGGTACCTCTCTTGCAGCCGTTAAGGTCTAGGATGCATGTTTTGTTCCAAACCCCTAAACCGTAAACCCCAAAGCCTATCCGATGTCCTATATCCTGATACGCGGCAACAGAATCAAGCCCCCGAACATGTCCACCCAACGACCTTCTACAGTTACAGAGGCCGGAATAAAGACCGATTCTAGTCAACAAGTCCTTGGTGGTCCTTATTAATGATTATAATGTTTGATGCAGTGCAAAACCCTGGTTTTGAGATTCGCAAGGCCCGTAGATTAATCTCCTTAGCTCCCTTGCCCAACCCCAAGCCCGAGCCCCCAAGCCCTAAACCCTACCTGGACCCTGCCTTTCTAGGGTTTCCTGATTATGAGTTCCTTATACAAGCCCTTGAAAAGATAGGTTATTTGGGGTTCAGGTAAACCCTAAACCCTGGTGCACTCAACAGCAGCACAGGTCCCTCCTAGCATGCGTCATCGGCACCATCGTGGCTTTCGGCCTGATAGGTGTGCTACGAAGTGGGCATGTTGTGAACACGTGCATGCCAGACGTAGGTATGTGCCATGTTGTAAGACAGATAGTTAGTTTAATAGTGGAAGCGAAAAAACAAACAAGACTAACAAAGAAGCCAACAGGGGGCACTATGAAATCATAGTTACAGGTAGGGCATAGGCAAGTCTTTTCTGATGAAAGATTGTATGCAAGCCTGCATGCCCGTAGGCATGCATGCTCGCATGCACTTGATCAGGAGACAAACTCTCATTCTCTCAGATCATGATCCAACAGGGCCGAAATAAGTACCGATACTATGCTGGTGTTTGTATACTTAAGGTATAATTTACCCCAAATCCCCATTCTACGCGTGTATGTACACATTCTTTGGGGACGCAAAGGTCGTCCTTTGTTTCGCTTTTCGTCGACAGGCTTTTGCCCGCATCCACCCCAAAACCCTGTTCCTATTATTAAGGCCACTTCATATCATGTACCTATAGTCTACATCGTAGTTCCCTTCGGGGGCTAGTATATAATTATAGGATCCTACGTATAAAGTTGCTTACAAAAACAGCAAATCCTGAAACCCTGAAATGGAGTTCCCCAGTGAAATCCCAACCGTCCGCGCCAAACCCTTCTAGGATCAGGGTTTTGCGGTGTTGGGGTAGGGTTCATGCACAAACCCTGTCCCTCAACAGTTGCCCCAGCTCGGAAAGCTCCCTTGCTGTGCAGTTTTTCTGTGGGGCGCCTATCTGGACAGGCCGGAACCGATGTGTTCTTCTGTAAGCTTCCCCCAAACCCTGAAACCTTAAGACCCTATTCTACCGGCTTCAAGTTAAAGTCCAGAACTGAAGTCCTTGAAACCTGCAGTTCTCCTGCAAGACACCCCCAAAGCCTAACCCCTATTCCTCGCGCCCAATAGCCTTCAAGCGATGCTGCCCCAAAGACCCTATTCTTTAACCGTAACCCCCCCCCCAACTGCTGAACCCTTATCGTCGAACAGACCCAAACGGCCCTGTGCTTCAATCAACCAAAAAAACTGAACCCTAAACCCTAAACCCTAAACCCTAAACCCTAAACCCTAAACCTAAACCCTAAACCCTGAGTCTCACTTGCTTTCCTAGCAGCCGGATCACTGAAAGGAGCGGCACTCGAGTGTAAGCTTGTGGCACAGGGGCCGAACACAAATCTGAGGTGGGTCCTTACTATAACTTTCGTATGACACAGCCCGAAACCCCTTTAAACGTATAATCAAAGCCCCTTATGATTAGTAGAGTTCCCTAAGCTAGAGTTTAGGAGTTAAGGTTTATGCAGGGTTTCGGGGGTTGCGGTGTGTTGGAAGACGTCGGGTTAAGGGTTGCGTGAGCTTGTAGGGGTCAGGGTTTCACGGTGCAAGGTTTAGGGATTTGTAGGGTTTAGAGTTTGGGTTTATGGAGTAGGGATTTTATGGATCAGGGATTTTTAAGGTTTAGGGCAGTTTTGGAGGTTGTGGTTTTGAAGAGTGGGCCAGTCGGTGGTTTGGCATTGGAATGAGGATTATTGACAGTGCGCCCCCTTCTACCGACATACCATAGGTGCCTTCATAATTAGTTTAGGTTTTCGGATTATATTCTACTATAATGTTAATCAGGAACCCCCACGATAGTATTGGTAAATTAACCCAGTCCAACCATGTCGACTGCTGGGATCCATCATAGCCTTAGACTTATCGAAGTGAAGAAGGAGTAGGCCTCCAGTTCCTTGAGCAGTAGGTTGCTAGCCATCTATTATAATACCCCAGTAACCTACTATTTGGGGTTTAGGGTTTAGGGGTTACTAGCCATCTATTATACACCCCAGTAACCTACTATTTAGGTGACTGGAGCCTTCGGGAAAGGCTCAGCAATTTCAAAGAGCATAAAGGAGCTTTCAATTTTTACCCAAACCCTAAGCACAGAGACTCCAAATTAAGGAATACTGTAGATCTTAAAGTATATCAGGA